AGAGAGAAGGAGGAGAGAGAGAGAGAGAGAGAGAGAGAGAGAGAGAGAGAGAGGAGAGAGAGAGAGAGAGAGAGGAGAGAGAGAGAGAGAGATGAAATAGATTTCTATACACCGTCAAACATGTTAAACTTTAGGCATTTACTGATGTATCGAACGTTGATGTTTGGTGTAGGAGCATAATCACCGAAATATGATGATAGATTGTGAGTGTTTTATGTAGTAGGTGCCCTTCTTAGCAATGCTTATTATTTTCTAACTGAATCCGATTTTATTTCAAACGATTGTCACTGTGCTAGGTGGGCATGTCTTTGCAGGAAGAAAAACGAAGTTGACGCTTACGGCATGAATTAACTTTCTGGCGCACCGTTTTTTTTACGCGGGTTGGTTTGGTAATAAAAAGACTAGAATCGCACGGATCACATGAGCTGGCATACGCCGAATCGCGATTCCAGCCAAACATGGTCTTGATAAATAGGTCACAGTTCAAAGGCCATTTGGGTCAGGAATAGGATCATGAAATTTTCAGAGTAGGTGTAAAATTGATCAAATCGAGGGTACAGAAAGTTTCGTCGCGATCGAACAAATTTTGCGCGAGTTATTCGCAAAAAAACGAAAGGGGTCCATCCGACCCCTCCCCCCCCCCGCTACAAGTGCGAGGGCGAAGGATGTTCAAAAATGAAAGATGATGCTCATAGGTACTCAAATGGTCATACCTCCATCAACAATATCTCCATCAACAATAATAAAACTATTGGTGCATCAATTTGTCCAGAGGCCCAGTTTCTCACTGTGATCTAATCCCACAGATATTAAATGGAACATTTGGTCCATTTTCACATTTTTTAAAAGCATAGGTATTTGGGCTAAAAGATGTAGATTTTTTTGCCGAGAATTCCAGTGATATCATCCAATAATGGAGATTGTGACATGGGATTCCTTGCAATCACTAATCAGAGAACCTGTGGTCTTCCCAGTGACCCAAATTCAACAATAGTAGATGCACGTGCAGCACATCTGAGATTGAGTATCTTAACCTGCGCCCCGTAGGGCTATCGGGAGACCCTACCTCCCGTAGAGGAGGGGGGGGGGCGTTTCGCCCCCCCAAGATCTCGGAAATTTGCCGGTCGATTTTCAAAATTCAAACGGCGTTCGATAGCTCCAACGGGGCCTTGTTGACCTAATTTCATTGACCTCAGTCCAACTGATGACATCACAGTTCAGGTCAAAGGTCGCATTTTCCCCGTTTACGGGCATTTCAAGAAATGTGTTGTGAATTGTGAAATCGAGTAAATTATGTTATTGAAAATCATCGATGAATAATTGTTCGACAAACACATATTTTGCTATCTTAGGTCACTGATACCAGGTCAGGTCACAGAGGTCAAGTCACTGAGGGTCACAATATGCAAATGCCATGTGATGTGATATACAGCCTACAGGGAAACAAGTCACAATATAATAAAGCAATACACTTGATACAATACAAAAATAACACGCTTTGACCAGACAGAAAATATATAAACGCAAACTTATGCGGTCCTATAAACCCCGATCCTTCCCCGCAACAGCTCACCGTGCGCGCTCGCCCACCACTGCAAATAAACAAATATGGCGGACAAACGCACTTTACAAAATGGCTATCATATGCTGTCAGAATTCCTTAAAGACTCTTCTGGTGAATACCCAAAGGACTTAACCCTCGCCCATGTAGGGGGGGGGGGTCCAACCCCCCCCCCTGAGGTTTTTCTTAGCTACACGCCGAACCGTTTCAGATAGCCTGCTCAAATTTTCAGTACCCTTTGGGGCATCCTTTGCGCAACTTTTGGTAATTTTTTTTTGTCAAGGTCATGTCAGGTCACGGAGTTATGACGTCATAAAGGGAACAACCTCCGGCCAGAGTTACGCTAAATTGGAGATTGCTTCACAGTGGTATAAATGCCGACTGACCTGACACACTGGTGGATTGTTTTAGAATCACAACTGGCTGATTTGACATTGGCACAATGTCCGTTTACATTTTGAAGGTTACTAAAGGTCAAGGTAAGGTCAGTGACCTCGGTTGACCTGTAATGACTTGTTGCACTTGTATGCCTTTTCGGGGTATTTTGATGCCCTGAATTCGAATTTGCTATCCATTTCAGGCATCGTCGGTTGTTTCTTGTAGTTCATTTTGGGTCAGGGTCAGGTCAGTGACGTCACACGCCTGACGTGACCCAATGCACAAATGACCTTGCAGACTTCCGATGCTCCCAACGCATCATTTTTAGAGTTATGACATCGAAATACACACCAAACGATAGAGAATTGATGGATCACGATAGTGAAGGTTTCAAGTCGATATCTCTTACCGTTTTCCGCAATCGGCGCGGAAATCTATTAGATTCTTCCGAAAATTTGACCTTTGACCGGTCATAAGTAGGTCAAATGTTGACCTAGGAACAAAAAATATACCACCAATCGCGAGATCTCGTTGTGAGCAATCCGTTGGTCTTTTCCGCTAAGCTCTACGACGCTCTGTTTTCAAACGCCAGGGGGGTCGCACCAACCCCCCCCCCCCCCTACATGGGCGAAGGTGGCAAAACACCGTTTACGGGCGAGGGTTAACCTTCGCCCCAGTGGGGGGGGGCATATGTTACCACCCTGCCGCGTTTTTTTGCGTGTGAATAAAAACCGCGGCGCGTAGCGCCGCGCCGCTTGGGTTAGCTTTTGGTTCATCAATTTTGGACAATGAGTGAAATTTTTGACCCCAGTTCATGTCAGGTCAGGTCACCAGGTCAAGTTAACTGACCAAGCCTAAAAAAAGTTTGCAATCATATCCAGCCTGCAGTGTTTGTCAGAAAGGTTTGAAACTTGGTGGATTGCATGCTGTTATGGGCGCCTACAATTTTTATATCTCGGATTTTTATATCCGTGACCTAAGGTCAGGTCAGTGGCGTGACCTTTCCATTACAAGTCAATGGAGAAAAATGAAAAAGCCTCTAGATCCGTGTGTACGCATCGGAACAGTCCAAATATTCCAGAATCACAATGATTTAGTCCACTCGTGATGACCAAGGTGTCATTTTTGCTGATAGCCTCTAGACAGGTCATCCGAGGTCACTTGAGGCTACAAACAGTTTTTTGCCAATAACTCGCGATTGGAAAGAGATAGAACGCTGGGGATGGTCTCATTGTGTTTGTCTTGTTGAGACGCATCGACTGATATGCAACATGACCTTTTCCGGTAAGGTCATGACCTTGACCTGAGGTCAAATTTTCAAGTTGACCTTTCAAGGTCAAATTATAGTTCATTCGACGCGTCTCGGCGAGGGGAACACGATTCTGGCAATAGAAATATCGTGGCTTTTTGTAGTCGAAAGTTATTGTCGAAAAACACTTTTCGTAAAGCTATTTTTGCTATACAGCTATTTTTGGAGTTTTTGCCCTCTGGAGGCTAAACCGTTGACCTGAGGTCAATATTGATAATGACCTTTTCAAAAGAAGAGTTCAAAAACTATCGTTTGCTCTTCCATGCGTTTTTCTAGCTACCATAGTTCCTGAGATAGCGGCATGTTTTCTGAAAAATATAATGACAATTGGCAAATTTTGACCTTTGATGACCTCTGGTGACCCCAATATTGCTCTAAGGTGAAAAATGACCGAAATACTTTCAAACGTACGCATTGAGAGCTATCGACTGCTTTTTACAGCGTCTTTCTAGCCCTCTTGAGTTTTTAGTTAGAGGTGGGTGGTAAGATATGCCCCCCCCCCCCCCCACTAGGGCGAAGTTGGCTGAGACCGCCACTGGGGCGCGGGTTAAGAAGAGTTGTCCAGGTAGAAAGAGTTCAGCCAGAGTTGCATTAGCACATTGAAAGAATATTTCATAAGCATCCGGCAGGAGTATAAGGAGAGCATGGAAATAGGCACAAAATTCTCACAATAGCCTTGGGAAGAATAATGGAAGCTTGCAACAAGTTTTTGCTGTGGTCACGGTAAATAAATAAGGAGCTGTCGACGCATCAACCCAGAATCAAAGCTGGTACGGAGTCAACTTTTCTCTCAGTGATACTTGTTTTGTGGTCCACTTTACATGACAAATGCGATTATGTGGGTCAGGTGACCTTTGGGGCCAGTGAAGGTTATGTTGCTCTGGTGAAGGTCAGGTCAAGCTTAGGTCAAATAAGGTCAAATTTCAAAGTTGATATCTTTGAATAAAATGGGTGTCGATTCGATGCAGCTCGTCACGGGGAGTCTACTAGTGGTCTTTGTTTTGCGCTACGTGGTCTAGAATGGCTCAGGTGGGTGACATCACGTGACCAAAAAATGGCGGTGGGGTTCAACGATTTTTTCTTCTTCTAAAACATTATGTAAGTCCTATGGACTTTTGTCAGGGTGTTGCAAGGTGCCAAAAATCTTCATTTTACTGCCGGGGACATCTAATTTTCTTCCCTATCTCATAGAAGGATGAACAGAACTACGTATTCATCCCATAAAAACAAAAATAATTTTTGATGCACCACTCGAACGATGGCACATTCCAAGGGCAAGAAGGAGCCTCAGTTTTTGTTGTTACAAATACTGCGCAAACAATACATTTATTCGATATATTCGCAAAACCGCTCACGGCTGCTTTTTCACGCTGAGTGACGTTAGCGCATCACGTTAAAGCCAATCAGCGCATTCCGTATCTTTATGAAAGTGCACTTTGAACAGCTAATCAGGAATGTGCATTGAGTCGCCCTTTTGGCTTTTTCCCGCTTTTTTTCATCGAGTTTGAGTGCTGTTGGGGGGCGAATAATCTCGGAGATGAGTCAGTCTTACATCCTACAGTGGCGGCGGATTCGATTTCGACATGGGGGGGGGGGGCAAGATCCCAGACGAGACTATGTCACAGGCAGATCCAGGAAGGCGGTTTTGGACGCTTCTGGGGACACAGCCCCCAAAAAGCTCCCAAATTCAAAAACTTCTCGGATTTCAATTTCTTACGCACTGCTAAGCAGCTTAAAGCAAACTTTTCCCAACACAACTTTTGATATTCGAAAAAAACTTGTTTGTAAATTTCGGGCACTAGTGGGGACTATTTGCTCTAAATGTCCCCCCCCCCTCCCTAGATCTACCAGTGGACGATGTGACAATGTTCGTATCGCTGCACTTATGAAAAATAAGTTCCCATGGGAAAAATTGCGCCACACTCCACAGGCCGACCGCATATCATATAATGAGGAACGGTGTCAAACTTTGGGAAATAGGTGAGCGCTATTCTCCGATGAGGTAATTCAGTATTACTATTTCCACCGTTCATTTCATATTCGATTTCCTTTAAAGGTTCCCTTAAAAGGTATTTCTGAGACGGACATCAAGTGAAGCTAGCTCACAGCGGGAGGAGACCGCTTATCAAACATTCAGAGACAGTCGATCGCGGATCGCCAACTAAACCTATTAAAAACGACGCATTAAGAAACCCAGATTCGATGCAGAGTTCAAGAACGTATGTTTTTTTCGAAATCATGTCATCGCGTTATCACCTTCAGGCTTACCGATTCCGCATATAAAGCGCCCTTTACATCAAAATTGTTTTAAACACATGGTTCAGGATTACCTTTCCGCTTTGCAAAGCTGATCACCTCTATTATGTTATCGAAACACAGATGATATTTGCCAATATCAGAGCACATCACTGTCACACTTCTTCGAAGCAAGCCTTGTAATCAATGCAAGAAACAATACACGTGTGAAAACACTCAACAGTGCCCAACATGCATGCTTTACACTATTCACGGCCCTCCTGGCCGGAACAGACGATCGGCCCCCGCCCGCGCCGCCTCGCACCTCGGTGCGGCTTTCCACGCGAAGCGGCGCCCCCTGACCGCCGACCCGTCCCACGGGCCGCCTACCGGCCGAAACCGCCGCGCTGGCGGCCTGTGAGACAGGCCGGCGGCCCGGCCTCCCAGCATTGCTGGCAGGCCGGGCACGGGTTAGCCCGGATGGGGTAGGGCGGGGGCTTTTCATCGCTTGACGCGACGACTCCCTGGCAATGCCATCTATAAAGACGAAACAATACTTTCCTCACGCAAATGTTGCACAGAGCACGCACCAAATCCAACTCACACTCTTCCGAACACTGTTTGGCGCTTCTTCGGGTGATTCGATACGAACTCACGAAGGATAGCCTTCGGATCCAGCTTTCTGGCGCGGTCACTGTGCGTGGCAAGGACGACCAGATTGGACAGCCTGGCCTGACTCATAGTGGACCGCAGTGGCGTCTTAATGCGACTCAGGGCGCTAAAAGAACGCTCGGATGACGCTCCGCTCATCGGGACTACCAGAATTCGAGTCGCCAAACGGAGCACTTCAGATAGCATCTGGCGACACACGAGGCCCTGTTCCACGATGATGCTGACAAGTTCACTGATTGATGCGACTGGAAAATCAATGGCACTACACTGACGCATCACACTCAGCTGTGCAGCAAGAGCGTCTGGATCGATGTCACCAGCGGACCCGTCCTCGTTACGGTCACCCACAGCTGCCATCATTTCTTTGACTCGTGCAGAGGATACATCTTTTTCTTTCCCGAGCAGCAGGTCCTCCATTTTTTCCAAGCGCTCAAGACCAGGCTGATCGAAGCGGCGTCTTACCTCGCTCGATATCAGGTCCATGGCTTCCATGAAAGCTCGCCTGATCGAGGCCTTGGCGCTGAGAGCTGCGGGGGGGGGGGGCGCTGCGTTCGTACAGTGTTCCAGTCGCTTCGGTGGTCGGCTTGCGCGGGGCTCCTTTGGCGGGTCGATCGGTGCATCCAGCGACTTAATCTTCTGGTCACAGTCTGTCCAGAGCTGGTCGAAGCCAGCCTCACGAAGCGTGCGGAGCGTTTCGAGAAGCATGGCTGCTCCTCGACGGACTTCTCCAGAGTTCACCCCTGGGCGCTGCAGTGCCTTTGCGAAGAGCTCGCAGGGACGGAATATGCGCTCGCATAGCATAAGGGCGAACACCGTCTCGTAGTGGTGGAGGTGTTGGAGATGACCCCTCACCCGGTATCGAACATCAGGCGATGCAGATGCATCGGCTGCGACGTCTTCAAGTGTTAAGATGATCGCGTCGTACTCGTCCAGGAATCGTGACACTGCTTGGCACCTGACAGTCCATCTAGTGGGGCAAAGTGATAGAAGCTTTCGCGGCGCTTGCTGCATTACACCTTCGTCATTTTCCTCGCTCACGTTTAGTTCTCGGAGATGCTCTTCAAACCAATGTTTCCTCTTAGTTGTCTTCAGAATCCCCACAACATCTCTGACCGTATTCAACGCATCCGCTACCTGGGAGATTTTCTTGGCCTCTTCCACAAGGGCAAGATCCAGGGAGTGATTCGCACAGTGTACGAACACTAAACGAGGCTGGTCTTCGACGAGCCTCTGCTGGACACCACTTACTTTTCCGGACATGTTCGAGGCTCCATCGAAACAATGGCCTCTTAGCTTGTCAGTACCATACATCGTACGCACTAGGGCGTCCTTCAATGCTTCATAGAGCTCGGCAGCTGTGGATCCTGGGACCTCATAGAGCCCAAGGAAGGCCTCTTTCACAAGCAGCTCTTCAGTGGCGTAGCGGACACAGATACTAAACTGTTCTTTGGTGGACAGATCTGTCGTGCCGTCTGTAATCACGCCATAGAACATTGATCTCCTGGCCTCCTCTAGCACCTCACGGAGCAGCATCGAAGCCATGATCCGGATGATTTCATTTTGGCATTCATGGGAAAGGAAGTTGTTCTTCTTGTCGAGCCATGCCTTTATTTCGGGGCTCGTGACAGACCGCTCGTCCAACATTGTCATCAGTCGACCACTTACGTTGTCGTGGCCCCGGAGAGCTGAGCCCGAGCGCGCCAGGCCACGAATGGTGCAAATGATCTCTGTGAAGAGCTCCCGATTCTTCTTCTGTTCTGCTTCTGTGGCTTGGGCGATGCGCTTATCCACAGGAAGACCACATGAAAGAGTCAGCTTCTCATGGGCCTGAAGATGCTGTGCGGACTTGGAGTTCGAGAATCCATCCAGAAAAGCTGTCTCTTTAAAGTCGGGTCGCTGCATCAGCTTCAGCCGTAGCGCACGGCAGCATGTGTGGCAAGTCACTGAGTCACTCCCCACGTTGTAAGAGAGGAAAGGATACTCCCTATGGCCTATACCAATCACTTCGAAACTTCCGGCCGTTGGTCTCCGGAAAGGACAGCTGCGTAGGCTGATGAGGATCTGGGAAGGATTGAAATTGATTTAACGACATGCTCAGCACTAGTTTTCGGCGTCAGATACCTCGCATGGAAGTGTTTCTAAATCTAGCCAAATTATTACGATGCGTGTTCAATTACCGGATTTCAGTTCTAACATTTCCAGAACAGTACGGTAATAGAACGCGGTAAGAACATCAGAACGACGCAAAATAGCTATTTTGGAACATATAAGCACCTTCTTGTAAGTTAAGGAAAAAGTACTTGTGAAATAATGGAGGGAGAAAGAGGGAGGGGAGGGGAGGGGAGAGAGAGAGAGAGAGAGAGAGAGAGAGAGAGAGAGAGAGAGAGAGAGAGAGAGAGATTCTTCTGTACAATGCACATAACTTTTGTTTTAACTCATCGCCGGAAATTCACGTGTTTTGAAACTTGCAGTCACCAAACCTAATGAATAAAACCTGATAAACATACCTGAGTTACTGCCCTCAAGGAGGTGCACAGCATCAGAAGGTGCAGTGCTCTCAGGAGCGTCCACAGTCACAGGACCAGGAGGTGCAGTGCTCTCAGGAGCGTCCACAGTCACAGGGCCAGGAGGTGCAGTGCTCTCAGGAGCGTGCACAGTCACAGGATCAGGAGGAGCAGTGCTCTCAGGAGCGTTCACAGGATCAGAAGGCGTTGAACTCTGGCTAGTGTCACTTCTGGAATGCATGTAGTGATGGAAAAAGTTATTAATGATTAACTCGTTGTGTGACATAGACATATTGGAGTTTGAATATAGAAAGTCATCCAATTAAAGGGTTTCAATTTTCATATAACCTGCTTTCCTTTGGTTTATATCAGCTTTGAGATAAAATGCTCAATTGTGAAGTTGTAATTAAATGAAAGAAAATACAAAGCTACTCGAGTATCATGATTCAGAGTCTTGACATATTTAGTCAAAGCTATAAAAAACAAAACAATGATGTAAACCTAAATGAAAGTGAACACTGAACAATGGGAACAAAAAGAACATAACTCATTAATATGCTACCCGCAGGTACTGTGAAATAGTAGCAGCACCAGGGAATATAGACAAAACATGGAGCTTTTTAAAGGCAGCACAAGAACAGAAGCAGAAATGAAATATGAAATGACACTATAAATAAGAAGTAACTGACACAAAATAATTGATGAACTCACAATTTAATTAGAATGTTAATGCTTTATTGTTATCAAAGTGGCTGAGGTAGTATTATCTTAACTGGTAGGTAGCTGATTGAAACAAAGAATTGACGCACAACTGACATGTATTTATCAATTGATTACAAAAATCAAAATAATGCCATTCCGATCACTTAAACAGCATGGTACATATCAAAATCGCCAAACCAATAGATACATACCTTCTTTTGATTTTACCAAACATGCTCACAAGGCTCATTTGAGCCTTTCTCTTCGCCATGTCTTAGATAATCAAGAGTAGATTGCTCTGTTCCGTTCTGGGGAAAGGCGAGAAAGGTTTTTACACTGTAATTATCTAACCATTTTGGTAGACAATAATCATATACAAACTATTGAAAATCGGTTGATTATATATTTGCCAAACATCAGCTAAACAAGTCCCAAAATCAATAGCAATTGATATATACAAAACACACAAAAACTCGCAATTAACATGGGATACCTAAGATCGGCCAGGGATGACAATGATGCCACAGGTAAATATTTACAATTAGTTTAATTCACTGTTCAAGCATAAATTGCCCCTTCACCCCAGCATGAATGTGTGCTTCGCCTTCATGTGTGCATGAAGCACACATTTCAAACAAGCAGAGAAAAGCACTGTTCTGCCATAGGTGCTCAATTCGTCACAGACGCAGACCCTCTGCGCTTTTGTTGACTCAGGTCCCCTGCTAACCCCACAGCCATCATACTACAATTAATTGAAATTACCAACTAGATAAAGCGTTAAGCGTAACCTGCCCAGTGCCGCCCAGTTATCAAACACTACACCAAGGCCATATCACTACACACACACCTCAACCTCTCAGAATAAGATACTCGGCGACAAGATACCTGAGCGCGCAATAAATGTGACGGCGTCGTCACTTTCGCTACTTAGCACTGCTACCAGTTATCAGCTACCAAATCCAAAAATGTAGGTATTTTGAAGGAATACTTTCATTTGACGCTAGGCGGCTTGTAAAAAAAACATGAAATTTGCAATTATGAATAATCCTAAAATATAACGTCAGGATTGCATCCTACATAATTCAGTTTTCATCGCAAATTATGGGGGGGGGCAAAAAGATACTTTTGCCCCCCACCATTCTCGCAGGGGGGGGCAGCTGCCCCCCCCTGCCCCCCGAATCCGCCGCCCCTGTCTAAGGAGCAAATATGCCTTTTTGTTTTGTGCCTCAATGCAGTCATTCCAGCAACTTATACGGCCTTGATTCCAGCGCCAGGTCCCAGTCCAAGTGCTCCTTCTTCCGATTGCCCCAGGACGAGGGGGAGTTGAAGAAATGGACTACACTGATGAGGTTCGTTATGCGACATTGTGATATCTCCTTTTGTTTATTATCGTGATATTGCTGCTTTTATGACTTTTTAGATATGCAACCCTCACAGGCTCACACCATTTTGCTAAGTACGTGCTTGGGTAACTTCTAGGTGATTTCAGGACAAATCTTTTTAAGTACCTATGGTCCTACCTATTTCTTCATCGCGCAATTACTTGTCGGGAAAATGTTTGTCCCTGCAATTCTTTGTATCCATATTTTTCAGTCGGCACATTTCTTTGTTTCACAAATGGTACAATTGCAAACAATGTATCAGTATGACTGTATGGGAGGCTCAGCAGGATCAGCAAGAGAGTAAGCACCTTTTGTTGCAGTTAATCATACCAAAAGTACAAATTTTGGCATTAGTAGAGCAGACGTCACGCAAAGGCCTTCCAACCAAAGATAGGCGCTGTAGGTTTGTAGGTTAGGTTATGTTTGTTTTCCGGTAAACAGGAGATCCCGAGTTCGGATCTCGGTGGTGCCTCCAGAACAGTGGGTGAAGGCGCCAACACCACCGGCGTTTAGGTTAGAAAGAAGCATCTCCGGGTATAGCGCCTCTCCTTAGCTGGAAAACCTTCGTGTGACGTCTGCTCCACTTGTACCTACCCAAATTTCTAGGTAGGTACATTTGGTTGTAATAATTGCTGGTTTTGCTTGGTGCTTGCTGGTGTGTATTTGTAGATTGGTTGATGTAGGAAGTCTGCTGGTGTGGAGATGCTGCTCTAGCTTGTTTGTCTTTTCATTTTCAACTGTTTGTTTCCACCCTTTGCTTAGCATTGCTGAGCAGGGCTCTGTTTCAGCTACATAGAGTACAGAAGCTCCTAAACTTTGGTGCCAGAGTGGTTAGCGGCCGGCGTAAGCACGACCATGTAGCGGACGTTCTCCGTGACCTGAACTGGTTAGACGCGCGTGGCCTTGTCACGTATCACCGACTGTGTCTCACCCATGCTGCCATCACGACCGGTAGTCCCGAATGCATCGCTATGTGCATCGGCCCCAGTAGAGACCACGTGTATCAGACGAGAGGCTCCTCTCAGCGCACGCTACCGAGGATACACTCTGAGTCGGGTCGCAGGCGTCTCAGCTACGGTGCTGTCCAGCAGTACAACCAGCTGCCATTCGACACAAACACTCGCCACTTCAAATCAACCCTGAGACGCTACCTACTCAGAGAACTGTATGGCTGACCTGATCAAGTATCGCGGTGTATTGTATTGGCCTGAATGTATTTTACCTCGTATGTTTTCAACCTTTGACGTGTGACGATGAAAAACCATATTCGATGGATTCGTTATGAAATATATTCTGATTCTGATTCTGTTTCACTGCATGCTGCTACCCACATTCAGGTTCAAATGGAAATGCTGACAAAATTCTGTCCAAATGGAAATGCTGGCAAAATTGTTTAGATATTTCACTGACATTTCTAAATTCTTTTGAAAATGAGCACCAGTGCCCAGCTGTGGTGAGTAGTTAACTACGGCTTGCCGTGAAGCAGGGCCATGCTGTCTGATTAATTTTCTGCTAATAGAACCAACTTTATTGCTTTGCTTTTTCACAGGAGACAAGATGCAAAGCCCAATGAGCATTCAAGAGTGTGCTCTTGTCATTTTAGGAATGGCAAGAAAGAAGCTGGTCCAACCCTATTTGCTTGGAATGACTTCAAGAGAAGGTAATCTTGTTGTAACTAGCCTCATACTTATCACTTGTAAACTAGAATAATTCAATAATGGTAATGCTAAGGTGAAGGTCAAATTGAATGCTAATAATTTAATCCAATCAGCTTAACATTAAATGAGCTTCAAATGATTAAATTCTTCTCATGTTCATGCACATATTGTCTTACGTTTGTCAGTTTCGAAATTGCATCAAGTTTAGATGATCCTTAGTCAGTCTGAAATGGAAATTCATGACTTCAATCATTTCATCATATCTCAGATGTATCACCATACTCATTATGTTGCTACTAAGTATTATGTAGTGGTGCCAACTACCATTAATGCAATGCTTGTTTATCCCATTAGGCTTCCTGGTTTTATCACAATTACTTAAAAGGATATTATGAACCTCCATTGCGGTCTCCAGACTCCAAGTGCCTTCCCGTTTGATAAGTCGTCCTAACGTGCTATGAACCCTTCTTAAAATCCTTTTCCTCTCAAGGTTCGATCCATCTGCGGATCGTGGAAACAACCGGTCTACGTCGACTTTGACACCGCCGTATCCTCGGAGCTCCTCCTTAAACTCATCACGTCCCTGGAGGAGATGGGATTTCCTGTCAGGGCGGTGGTTTCCGATATGGGATCGAAAAACGTCGGGCTCTGGCGGGAGCTCGGCGTTTCTTTCGACGGCCGGACTGGCATCATCAATCCTGCTCATCCCGACCGGTAAGATCCTGTGCCATTGAATCCTGTTCCTGTTGCCCATATAAGTTTGTTTAAGTGCTGCCAAGTCAACCGTCAACATACACAAAGTCAAAGTCAATACCAGCTCAAAACCTAAACAATCCTTACAACCTTACAATATACTCTGAATTCGCTGCTCTTCACAGACGAGTGTGGTTCTTCGCGGACGTCCCGCACTGCATGAAGAACCTCCGCAACCATATTCTGGACGATGGCCTGCACCTTTCTCGGGGAGATGACCGAGGCGAGCCGGTGGTTGATGCCGATCTGCTGGAGGAGACGGTGAAGGTCGTCTCCACTCCCGAGTTCACCGTGGGCAGGAAACTCCCACCTCTGCACGTGCATGTAAGTGTTTTTTCATCACGTGATTTCTGAGGCCCAGCCAAGACTGACCCGGGTTCCGGACAAAAAGTCAAATGATAAAAGGTAAAAGGATGATTAGTCAACAGACATTACGTCAAAAGCAAGAAGTCAAAAATCTTAAAAGCCAACAGGTAAAAGGTCAACAAAGAGGAAAGTCAAAAGTCAAAAAGTCAAAAAGGATAAAACGTCAAAAGATAAAAAGTGAAACTGCCAAAAAGTCAATGAACAAAAAGTCAACTAGCATAGAAGTCAAAAGACAAAAAGTTAAATGGACATAAGGTCGAAAGACAAAAAGTAAAAACGGCAAAAAGTCAAATTGCCAAAAAGTAAAAAGGACAAAAGTCGAAAGACAAAAAGTGAACAGGACATAAAGTCAAAATCCAAAAACCAAAAGGACAGAAAGTCAAAAGGACAAAAAGTAAAAAAAAAAAACAAGTCAACTGGGCATGAAGTCAAAATAAAAAGGTCAAAAGGTCAAAAAGTCAAAAAGACATATAGTCAAAGTCCAAAAAGTCAAAAGGACAAAAAATCAAAGGGACAAAAAGTCAAAAGGACAAAAAGTGAAGAGGACAAAGGTCAAAAGATGAAAAGTCAACAGGACATAAAGTCAAATTTGAATTACGAAAAACACAAAGGAAAAAAAAGCGAAAATCCAAAAACTCAAAAGGACAAGTCAAAGAGACAAAGTCAATGACACCTGGATCATCAGTCATTACATACATGAGATAACATTTACAAACAGCTGTACACAATTAAGCGGGATGCTGCACAATATAACCTGCATCATTGGACATTGAAGCGAGACTGCCTCCATTGCGCGACTGATGGGGATTTCCATGGCCCGCAACCGCGACTCAGCTGGTCACACGGGCATGCTTGGCTGAAATCTGACACACATCCGTTGACACTCACGTGCTAGGTGGGAGCTCGCTCGCATCGTAAGGTTGTCATGAGGCAGCGTTACATGATCCTTCGATACACCTGGCTGTCCCAGGCGCAGTTTACTGGAATTATTTCAACAAATATAGTAACCCGGAATGTTATCGATACGAAAGGTTCGCTTGTTCAAATTTCCTATATTGTGTAGGGAGACGTTTCTCATCAATTGATTCCGTCACGGGTTCTATTAGCGATTTCACACTTTTATTATAGTCCAAGCGTATTGTATGCTACAATTGGTACAATAGTAAAGCGCGTCGTTTCTTTTAGATAGGTGGAAGTTGGAACGAGAGACAATTGTGTGATTGTCGGATTGTCCTGCCTTGAAAGGAACGCTCATATCAGCAACAACTAGTGATGTCAATTATGGAAACTCGTAATACCGATACCAAACCAAATACCAACAGTATCCATGGAAAAATACCGATACCGAACCGACTTGGGAATATGAGGAAAATATCAACTTTTTACCAAATTCTCAGCCTCTTTTACATTAGTGAAGATTCATAATACCAACAAAATACCAAATGCACTCGCCTTGAAATACCAAATACCAAGTTGGTATCGGTTTGGTATCGGTATACCAAAAAGTTGGTATCCGATTGACACCTCTAGCAACAACAGACAACAACCTGTTAATATTCACGGACTGCATACAATTAAGGTGACCAATTTTCATCGAAATGTATAGGTCAATTAAGTTATCGAGATGCGATTGCTAAAAACACAATTTTTTAGGACCTCGGAGCTGTGACGTCCAAAGAGAGGTGACAAGTATAGCGCATTGTGGCCACCAGTTACTGTCCCTCTCCTTCATTTTCGCCTCCGCCCTACGTCTCCTTATCGGAACTGCCCCCCCCCCCCCGCCACCAGCAGGTGGCGGGGGGGGGGGGGTACGCCAACTTTATATAGATAAGTTCACATTTCCAATATACTTTTTAAAGCAAAGTGAAAATAGGTAGGAGCGTTTTTTATCGGTAGGGTCGGGGCACGCACGGGGACGTGCCGAGACGCGCTATGCGGTGCAGCCGGCGCCCAGCGGGCGGCGTCCGGGGATCAGGTGGCCCGGCGCGGGTCAGTCGCCGACCGGAGACGCGGGCTGCGGCGTACTTGCACCGACTTAGTTAACGACTGCTGTTAAAGACTACTTTTTGCTGTTGACTACATTTTGCACATCAACTTTTCGCGCACCTATTAACTATTTGCTTGTTGACTTTTTGTATGTTGACTTTTAGCGTGTTGACTTTGAAGCATGTCTTTCGCGTGTTGACTTTTAGCGTGTTGACTTTTAGCGTGTTGACTTTTAGCGTGTTGACTTTTAGGCGTGTTGACTTTTAGGCGTGTTGACTTTTAGGCGTGTTGACTTTTAGCGTCTTGACTTTTTGCGTGTTGACTTTTTGCGTGTTGACTTTTTGCGCGTTGACATTTTGCGTGTTGACTTTATGCGTGTTGACTTTTAGCGTGTTGACTTTTAGCGCGTTGACTTTTTGACATGTCGGCTTTTTGTCTCTTTGACATTATGTCTTTTGACTTCTTGCGTGTTGACTTTTAGCTTGTTGACTTCTGGCGTGTTGACTTTTTGGCAGGTTGACTTTTTGTTCATTTGACATTTTGTCCTTTGACTTCTTGCGATGTTGACTTTCTGTCTGTTGACTTAATGTCCTTTGACTTTTTATCCCTTTACTTTTAACGTTTTGACTTTTCATCCGGGAATCGACTGACCCTTTTTGGTGGCTCGTACCGTCCTTTGAGGGTCCCAATCGATGTTGGTCCGGTATGTCTGACTTCAGGAGCCACATTTTATCGGTAGAGGCCCCATACAGTCGATCTCTGAGGTCCCCACACTGGCGTTTGAGGGCCTCTGTTAGTAATTTCACGCAGTCCCTGCAATGTTTTGTGTTCAGAACCCATCATGACGTCTTATACGACGTCACCAGGGCTGTTGAGATCATGGAGAGTTTTGTCAATAACTCTTGATCATTTTGAGCTAGGGAGTCAAAGAAGCCATCAATGAACTCAGAAAGACGCGCCGAACCGAACAATTTGCGACATGACCACAAACAGCCACTTTTTTACCTGAGCGACTGTGACCTAGCTTTCAGTCCTCAGGGCAGCACCCTAAGGGTGACCTTTCCCAAGCACACTTTATATCTATCGACACACTTCATCATATCAAACATGATGGTACCAACGGCAACATCACAGGTCTGCGACAATTTTTGACGAAGTTAGCATAGATCAGAATCATAAACTGGAGCATTGGACTTGACCTCAAAGGTCATCAGTTACCTTAGACCTGAAAAGTGGATACCTACCAATCACTCTACCTTGTAACGGCGTACAGTTTGGCCTTTTTACCGTGAAATTCTCATTGAATTATCGCCGAAATGGTGAGGTGAGTTCCTTCAACCCCCTCGGCCGGGTTGAATGTAGAAAGACGGTAGTCCGGTGAGTGATAAACCATACATAACACGAATCATGTTATCTATGGATTAACATATATATGTTTCCCATATCTGAGGAATTCCGAAGGTCCCATCGTGTCCCCTACCCTTCAATTCTGCGTAGGATGCCGGGTATCGTGTCTAGGTGACGGTAACGGCTTGAAGGTTACTATAATACCAATAATGCTTTTGACTTCGCGGAGCAAATGCGAAGTCAAAAGCATTTCATATATTCGCAAAAAAGAAACGAACTAAAACGCTGAGGCTGTTTGAACTCCCCCCCCCCCCCCCCCGCCAGCAGGGCGCGTGTTAACAACTATTTGCTTACGTTATGATGATTAAAAGTAGGTTTTTGAGCAATAAGGTTCCATGACCGGCGTCAGTTATATCAACGTTATTTGGCTGCACACTGACAACAATCCATACAGCCGACCCTGCTAAGCAAGGTTTCTTTTCTTTCGCAGGCCTCCAAAGCAGACAGGCAGCGCGTATACTTGGCAACGCAACTGCTCAGTGACGGTCAGTGACCTGCCGTGACGGTCGCACGCCGCTGTACCTGGCCGTACTGCAGCCCACCCGGAGCTGGCGGCCGCCCTGCCGTGACGGTCGTACGCCGCTGTACCTGGCCGTACTGCAGCCCACCCGGAGCTGGTGTCGCAGATGCCAAGCTGCGAGATGACGGGGGTGAGTCGATCTGGAGCTGATAATGTTACTTTTTATATGACGTGTATAACGCATGTGTAGCAAATGTATTTCGCTTTGGGTATACTCATTTTTGGAATGTGAACGTCGGCGTGACGCTTTCGTATGGCTCTTGATGGCTCATCATAGTGACTACATTTGTGATCAATTGTTAAGAGTACACGTTATTCATTTCGGCTCTTTTCTTCACCACTCACTAACATACATGTACGACCCCCCCCCCCCCCTCCCCCCTGTGGCAGGTTATCGGCCGTCGTCCAAACGGTGCGCGCGGGCCCTCATCTTGTCCGACGGCGCGCCCACTTCGCGACTGGCTCCGACCTCGCTTGGCGTTGGTACAAGAGCTGCCGGGAGTCGCCCTGCGTCCTCGGCGGGGAGCCGAGATTCCGGGCGGGCCGACTCCAACGTTTCCACACGATATCGCTTTGATAGCCAGGTTTCTTTCAATGGTTATTTCTGTAATCGGTCACGAGGCGAATCCTCGTTGAGCCTAATTTGTTCTCCAGTCTGCCAAGTCTGGTTTGCTTTGTTGATGCTGTACTACATGCTGTACACATGCTGTACCACATGCTGTACTATTAAAGGGTGTCAAATAAAAAAAAACGAGTTATGCAGGGCTGCGGAGTCGGAGTCGGAGTCGGTCGGAGTCGACAGTTGTGACCGGAGTCGGAGTCGGAGTCGGAGTCGATTTTAGAAACCCGAGCCGGAGTCGGAGTCGGAGTCACCGAAAATCTGTCGACTCCGCAGCCCTTCTAGGTCTGCGGAGTCGGAGTCGGGAGTTGGAGTCGGTCGGAGTCGACAATTCTGCCCGGAGTCGGAGTCGGAGTCGGAGCTGGTTTTTCAAAGCCGGAGTCGGAGTCGGAGTCGGAGTCGCCGAAAATCCATCGACTCCGCAGCCCTGGACTTATGCTTAACATCTATATAAACTACGCCTGGAGTTTGCTCTGATATGAATTGCATTTTATCATTATGACCTAACCAAATAACTTGAGTGGTGTAGTTGGAAAGTACTTAGCATAATACGTGGCCGCTGGCTTCGTTCCCCACGCTCGACGGCTCGCCGTTTTCAATGTTCGTCTGCGCACTGTACATCTGCAGCCCAGTAATCAATAAATGGCACAGGTACTCGCTTTTTTCGGAAGTAGTACGTTGGAGATGGAGACTGACTGAACCTTATTGAACTTAACACCACAAGTTGTCATCCTGACATATCTAAGTACACTTTCAACTGATATGGGACATTTTACATTACAGGTATGGTAAGATGCCCCACTTTGGTTGTAACTTGGTGGAGTCTGGTTTGCATAGATAATGCATTAAATATTGTTTTGAGCCTTACTAGTCAAGTATTTAGGTTAGTCAGTATTCAGTAACATGGCCCTCGGAAAATAGCGTGGGATTGAGTACCATTGTAAAAAAAGCTTTGGCATTTGGAAGTAAAATTGCCTTGCACAATAAATTAACAAACTGCAAAGAAAACCCCTGCTTTCATTGACCAGAGAGGCATTTGTACCAAAACAGCAAACAGAGTGCATACATCCCTACATTCATTATCTTGTTGAGCAACATTACTAGGATTTTATTGCATCAGCAGTATCACAGATGATCTAGAAGATAGAGAAATTCAATCAAAGAGCAAGCAAGACAGGTGAAGAAGACTTCGCAACTCGTATCCTACGAGGTACTATTGGTCTCAAGATAAGGGCCCAGGCGACCTTAAGTATGGATGTGGTGAATACCCTCGCCCTTGCCACAACTCGAGTGGGGGTGGCGCTGGGCCGCTGAGTGGAAGGAGGGGTACACTCAGCCCGAGCTGTGGCGAGGGCAAGGGTATTCACCACATCAAAACTGCAGGTCGACTGGGCCCTTATCTTGAGACCAATAGTACAAGGTATAAGGTACGTACTTACTTACTCCCAATCAGCAGCAATGCATCACAATAAAGCCACGTCTACAATGTGAGCCATTTTTTACATATGAAATAGTATGGACATCTGAGAAACTCGAAGCCAGGGCATTTAGTGAATTTTATAATGCTTGTATCATCTAATAGATCGGTAGGGGAGAGCGGGGCCAGTTGAACCACTTTTTATATATTGACATGTACAGCGAGATCTAGTTGTCATATCAGAAAATGCACAATGCCATGAAAAAATATGCTGTTTTGGCTTTATTTTAAGATACGTAAAATTATGTTTCAAACATATTTTGCTGCCAAACGCATGCTTATAAAACAGCTCTATGTACGCCCGTTTCAAATGACCCCGATGCGAGGGTCAATTGAACCAGCCCATGGGGTCAATTGCACCTATCCTTAACAATGGGATGTTTTCCTCTTTAAGGCCACTTTCTTAAGGAGATATTTTGTCCGGTTTACTTATCCAAATGCTACATTCAATAGGTCGTTGGAAAGCTAAAAGTGCAAAGTTCCTCATAATAGGTAACGTAAAGTACATAGGCTATGGTAAAATGGGCGGATGAGAAAAATGAGAAATATCTCAGGCTATAGTGTGCTTTCAAGCAAAAGGCTGGAGAAAAAGGGGTCAAAAATTGAGCTCTATTTAACTACTATTTCAGTTTAAAAGCTCATTTCAAAGGTGGACTATTTCCTTTAATGTTTACAGCCCCTGAACAATAACCATTGCAAAGGTCACCGGGGTCCATTGAAACGGCCTGTGGCCCTGTTTCAACTGACCCTCAGAGAAGCGTTTCAATTGACCCCATCCGCTCCCGCCATCTCGCACGCGCCGTAAAGCACATGTCAAACGAGCTGGAGGGACGGCATCATGCTGAATGAAGGGCCAAATAAGGTGTTATTCTGGAGTCAGGAGTTCTTCTTTCAGCAAACAAAGGTATACGAGATATCACAAAATATTCATCAAAACGATTTCTCCCAAACGCCCCTCAAAAACACAAAAACAAGTGTCAAATCAAAATTACCTTCCGTTTGCCGCCCAAACGCCGTTGACAAAGGAAGTGGTCGAGCGCGGATCCGCAGTGGTGTCGGCAACGCCATATGTTGCATACTGTTGAAAATAAAGCCATGTTTCATCTGACCCCGTGTTTCAACTGGCCCCGCTCTCCCCTAAGCATCAAAGTCATTTTGAACTGCTTCAGCTTTTGGAGAACAATAAACTAGTCTTGTTTACTGATGCTACTCAGATCCAAAAGACAACTGAGCAGTGAATCAGTGTCATTTTTATGACAGATATTTGTTGAAGAAATGGCAAAAAAAAAACGTGGTTGGCTACTAAATCATCCCAATGATAATTTGAATTGCGCTATTCAAACTTGCGCCAGCATTTTTGTTAATAAAAGCAAGGACACAATTGTGTTATAAATAAGGGCGTCAGCATCAGTATCAGTATCAGTACAGTATCAGTGTACAATAAAATACAAAATACAATACATCAGCATGGGGCGTCTTACCTATTGTAGGCTTTTTACACGGTTTTCCCCCAAAATATTAGTTAATTTTACTTGATCTGGAGCCACATCAACATACCCTAATGCCACATAAATATTGCCTAAATGCAATGCCATCTATCCTAAATGTCTACGGCGCCCACGGCGCCGGCACCAGGGTTATTCCTTTTCGTCCGAGCGCTACACGGGGTTGGGAAAAGTTTCGCATGGGGTGCCAATTGAAAGAAAATGTCACGTGACTGGCGTCCCAACCTTGTCTGTAAGAATCTTGGAATGGCTAAAAGTTTAGTTTGAAAATTTGACGTCATCATTTTTGAAGTTTTTTTCGATATAACTTGGCCACAAAGAGGCATCGATCTAAAATTTGGTATGTGAATAGAAGACGGTAAGTTCTATTATATATATTCCTGTTTTTTTCGAAATCCGAAAGAATTTTGTGATTTTTTGGCTATTATATCCAAAAATTACTTTTTCATTTTGGGGGTCAAAATTCATTTTTTTTTTTATAAAATCCGAGATATCAGTTTTACAGCCCTGTCAATTCTACACCTTTTATTTTTCTGTGTCTTTAAAGCTAAAGGCTTGACGGTTCTTCTCGCGAAACCATTTTTTTTGGGTCGAAAATGGCAGAACACGACGTCATTCTGACGTCATTTGTGGCCAATCTATCATAGCCTCTGGATACATTTTTGGTCACAAGTGCTTACCTCAGCTGTTGTGTTTATCCAGATGCACAGAAAGAACGTCCAGTCTGTTGAAGCCGTGCACATCTCATCTAGTACTCTGTAAATGCAACTGTTTGAACCGCGCATGTGAACCGAAGGAAGTCATCTGGTGTATGATGATTGGCAGTGATTTGGGAGTCAAACTTTGGGATGGGAAAATAATATAAATAAATGCTTGTGCTTCAAAAGTGTTGTTGAGAAGCGTCCCTAAAGTTGTGTCAGTCCCTATCCATGCCAGATGGCAAAGCCCAAAAGCTCCAAACCAAGGCTATATAAACCGCAAAAACACTCGGGAGTCAGGACTATCACAAAAACATATTCCAAAATTCAAAACACCAGTTCTTTAGGTAACCCCATTCGAAATACAGACTGCTGATGCCAACACCATTGGCAATTAGACTCGACATCAGCTATTATTGTTACGCCTCACATCAGGTGTTCAACGTAACAAGGTTTGTGCCACTTTTACAAGTTGTGCTACAAATTGTAGCACAAATTGTAGGCTACAATCAAATGTGATTGTAGCCTACAATCACATTTGATAAACTTAACCCGCGCCGGGCCGGGGGGGGGGGGGTTGCGGTTTTTCGCAGATATCAACCCAGTAGGCATTTTATTTTTACGGCCTCCCGCAGCTGTTGAAGCGGCCGTTCATTCAAAAATATTAATCCTGGACTTTTTCCGCTGACCACAAACAGCTCACGAGCCAAATGCTGACTGCAGTCCCGGTTCGCCGGGCGAGCCGACTCCGCCGCGACGCCCGTCGACCGTCGGCGGCCGCTGAGAGGCCGCCGCCGCCGCCGCCGCCGCCCGGCAGTGCGCCGTCAGCAGCGACGGCAGACGGGCGGGGGACGGTACCCGACTGACGTCCTCCCAGCGGCAGCGACACGTGGAGACGACACCGGCGCGGCGAGCGCTGAGCGGCATACACACGAACCATCCCGCGATCAACGTGAGGACGGCACACGAGGCCTCGTGAGCCTACCCGGTAAGACGTCAGCCGTGAATTGCATTTCAGATGCAAACTCTCGTCAGGCCAGGATCTTTTTCATAACGCGGACGGCCATGGGGGGGGGGGGGAATACGACCCCGTCTCCTCTGCGAATTGGCTCCTTTATGGCACTTAAGAAACGCCAAATTTACAAGGTAGATGGGCCCATGGGAGATCTCGCCCCTGTGCAAATTTTGTTGCTGTAGGTCAATATTTTTTGTGGGGGGGGGGGGGGTGTAAATATAAAAATTTCGCTAAAATAGGTACTATGTTTTTGGGTTATAAATTTTGATCTAGTTTAAAGGTAGACCAGGAAGAAAAATACCAGTGAACTTGACACGTCCGTGCGCAGCGAATGGCATACTTTGTTACCAGTGTAATTGAGCTTAACAATTTTCCTGATT